ATTTTGTTTTGTCCTTGTTAATTTTTTGTAGCATCAGGATTTAGCATAAGACCGAGGACTTAGCAGATACTCCACCGATGTCTATTTAACTGATAGGGTGTCTTCAAAATCCATTTTTAAGATAAATATTCATCTCATGGGAATCTCATGTCAATGTTTATCTAAACAATGCAGAAATGCATGCAGCGAAAGCACTCTTTACCAGCTTCTGCTCACCTATGCACCTGACTGCTGGCAACCGAATCTCCCCATCCCTTCTGTAAAGTATACTCTCTGATATGCTTGCACATTTCTGCCCCTCGACCAGAGTTGCACTTTATCAACTTATACATGTTGGGCTTGCTCCCAAGTCTGTTTATGACACCTGCAATTATTACTAAATAAATAGGTGTAATCCAATAAAATGTGAGTGTAAAAAGAGCTGTTTCTATGAAGACTAAGTTGATTGCTTTAGAACCACTTGACCAATGTGGTAACGCAAAAAGAAACTTTTTAATCAAATTAGACATGGAAGGAATGAAAGAGAAATTGTATAATTTGAAGATGACTTTGCACTGACATTTCAAGCATCTCAGTTCTCACTGTACTTAAAAAAAAACTGGAAGATGAGAATGGATGCACCATTATGATGTGGTATGTGCAAGAAAGAGCACATGGCTCTCCAAGCAGCTGACCATACTTAGTTTTACAATAAAAAATCGGCATACAATTGCACAGTTATGCGTTTTGGATTAAAATGAAACATCTAGAGTATACACTACATGTATTCTTTCTTAATGGTTGCTCCACTTTAACAGCTGTTCTCGATTAAGCGGTCAACCACATCCACAGGCCTCCTGCAAAAGAAGGCCCTTCCAGTGACAGCCTCCTTTTAGGAACGATTCATGGATGGAACACCCTACAACAATATACTGCTGTCACTTCCTTTCTAAAACAAACAAAACCAACCTGCCCTACACCACCAGTAAAATGGACACAGTATGTTGAATTTTCTCCTGTACTGAGATTGTGTTAAACACTCTCGTGGCTCCTTACCATAAATAAATTTTAAAGGTCTCTTGAAACACTCTCATTTAAATTCAGTTCCATAAATAAATACATAAATACATAAATAAATACTGTTCCCTTTTTAAAAGGATGAAATTTTCTATATTAAATAATTTCAATTTATGCAACATGTTAAGTTTCATGAGCCGTTTAAAACCCATCCATTCAAAATCATCAGATGTTTATTAAAATCTTCTGAGATGATAAAAGTTATAATGTATACAGGATTTGTGGCTGGCTGAACACTCACAATAGTTGGGAATAAAAGAATTTACTCATATTTGTCACTATTAACATCCCTACCTTTGCTTTTCACACTTACATCAAGTGAAAAACTCTTACCTACCTTTAGCAAGCTGAAACAAATACCCAAAAGCTAAGAAGTAAAAATGTATGTAACAAAATCACAAATTTAGCAATGAAGTAAATGTTTTTAGAAATTCAAGCTCCTTTAGGACTTTCCAAAAATGATAATCAACAGATAAAATGAAGAATAAATCTTCCATAGTTTTTGGGTAATAAAAACTTTTCAGTTATAAAAGTAGTTTTATTTAACTTACAAACTCTTTTTAAGCAACACTAATCAATTACAACTTAATAGCTGCTGCGTGGTGTTGAACTAATTAATTAACCTTCCTGAGCTTCCTCATTTACAAAATGGAGTAATACCTATCTCATTTGCTAGTAATATGTAAACTGTCTAGTGCACAGCTGAAAATAAATTCATGTGACACCCTTCATATGTATATAAAGCCAAATATTCTTAACAGTGATGGAGGCAGAGAGACAACAAAGTATATGAATTCTCCCAAAGTGTATGCAAAACTTTGTGCATATATGCTTACGTACACTTTACTTGGGAAAGGATCCACAGGTTTTCATCTGATTCTCTAAGCAGACCATACCCCAAAAAGTTTAAAAGCCTTTGGCTTTACTGCCTGTCCCCAGATTCATAAAGTTTATAAAATTTAACTGAGAACTCTAGACACCAGTTAACTTTAAATTACTCAAGAACAACCACAACAAAAAGTTCAATTAAAAGCATGATCATGGTATGGTATACATTCTTTTATTTCTCTTATAAAAAATAAACAAACTTTAATTTACTTGGCTCAAATTATTTCCCAGCCTTACTGTAAATCAAATACCCAAATTCAAAACCAAAATTTAAAAATGTAAAACAAACAAACAAAAAACAGTAACATACACACAAACAGGGAAACCTTAAATAGCCAAGAATTAAAGCTCTATTACTTGTATAATACAGTAACAATTGTTCCTTCTTTGGAGTTAATTTTTCAAATTACTTCACCCCTTCATTCTGATTCAAAGTTAACAACCTTAACTTCAAACAGCTATTATGTATGTGTTTTCACTGTGTGCAATAAGGAAGCTGTAAGGTATCACAGAAGGGACCCTACACTAGGAACCACGGAAAGCAAGGTTATGGTCCTGTTCTGTCACTCACTGACTCTCTGCACACAGCTGGACCTCAGCGTTCCGCGGTACTATAATCCTATATAAAAACATGCAATCCCGAAGTAAAAGACTAAGTTACCTGCTCTCCTAATGTTGCACTTCACTTTATTCCTAAAACAGAATCTTACAAAAGGGAGGACACCTGATAAGACATTTGATTCTAAGTCTAATGAGAAAATATGCCCAAAATAATAAGACTTTGAATTACAGACAGTTCTGTTCCCACTCTCAAGGCAGAAACACTCAGAGCAGAGCTTACACTGGGGACACTCCAAGCTTCAGCTGAGCATGAGTAAGAACACCAAACACCTTCCACCATACTGCTCCTTTCCTTAGTGCGAACAGCACTTACAAGAAAGATTTAACAACAAACATATAAGCAGACAAAAATAATGATAGATAAACCGTTACTTGTATTTCATTGAAAAAAAGTATGGAAAAGGGAGCTTATTTTAACTGATTTTATTTCCAAACTGTCCTTTCCAAAACAAGTTTCTCATTGAAATACAAAGTAAGGCTTTACATACCAAGATACCCTCTATGCTGAAAAGGGGTATCCCTCTTCCCACACACACACACGAAGCAACTATATGAAAGTTAAGCATTTAATAAGTAGGTCAAATACAACTCTGAATGTATTCCTGTAAAAGCTACACAATATACATGAAAGGCAAATTAGCCTGGCAAGACTTGGTTTTCTGAAAGGCTGTGATGACTAAAACTTCAGGACTAGAACATGATACTTATTAAAAGAAACTGGAGCGGCGTCCTCCAGCAAAAGAACTAGTACAAACAGCGTTCCAGGCTGAACTCACAGTCTAGTATCCTAGGCCTCCACCATCTTTTCCAATTTCCCCCACGTGGTGCATAGTGTGAATCCAAGAAAACAATCAGTAATTCATCTGCTGAAGGTCAGCTATAAAACACAATGAGGCCCATGCACTTAAATTATTTAAAAGGAGGAGAAAAAGAAACCCTAGATAAGGTCTCGTTGAAAATAATGCCACAGAATCCAGCAAACAGCATAACTGTACAAAAAAGACCAGAATGAGATAGCATGTTGGACTGTCATCACATGACATATACCAAACACTCCCCGCCACGTTAAAAAAAAGAAGTTCACTCAGCACCGGATTCACAGCTTTCTACATGACTTCAATACCAGCCAAGGGTTTTTAAAACGCCTGACCTCACGGACAAGACTTCCAGGCAAACGTTGATTAGGCCACCTGGGAAAGATCACCATCGACTGCCAATATTTCAGATCTAATAAAAGTATTCAGATCTAATATTTCAGATCTAATAATAGTCTTATCAAGTTAAAGTGCAAAGATATCAATCTCCACATTCAAATATTTTATAGCACATTTCAACTAAGTTCAAAGGGACAAAAGATTGAATCCGTAATTTCTTATTTGTGCAAGTAGAATTTAGAGATTATTTCTTAAGTAATTAGACCTAATTCTTCTTGTGGCCCTCAGAACACAGTTTACCTGTTGGAAGGAGTATAAATAAATAAACTTTTATACAGATGGCATTTTGGCATATCTATCAAAAATTAAAATACACATGTACCCTTTGGCCCACCAGTTACATTTTGAGGAATTTATCCCAAGAAATTTTTGGATGCAGGTGCAAAAATGTTATTCACTACAGCATTTTGTAAAGGTGAAAAATCATATTGCTGATTAACATTTGGGGTACCACACAAAGGAATGAGCCAGACCCATATGTATGGATGTGTAAGGAACTCCGAGACAATTTATTTGTTCAGTGAAAATTGCAAGCCGCACAACAACAGGTATAGTAAAAACATATTTATGTCAAGAAAATTGTACGCATGTGTGTGTAACTGCATAGAAAATGGTCTGAAAGAATGCACAGCAAACAGAGGCTATCATCTGAAGAAAGAAAAGTGGGTCAATGTAAGTGGGTTGAGGTTGGCATGAGGGGAAGGGCAATTTCAGAGACAAACTTTTATTTTCTACTCCACATACATCTGTATTATTCATTTACATCATGTAGATAAAACATTTGATCTTTATAGAAAAGATGTAATGTCTAATTTTAGCTGAACTCTAGAAGCATCTAAAGAGAATGCTAAAATAATAAAAGAAGTAAAGGCTGTTGGTAGTCAAAAACATCCTTTGTGACTTTAACCTTCAAGGGAATAAAGACAAATGTGGGTAGCATCAATCAGCAGTTACAAGTGAGCATGACAGTGTTTTCATAAAAGAGCACGTGTCAATCAGAGAACAAAAGGATTTGCCTCTTAGAACTTGAAGAATATAAAAAATACTAAAATCAGAAATATTATTAAAAAGACATAAATCATTCCAAATGTCTCTGAAAAATACAGTTTTAACAATGAATCCTATTACTTTGGTACAAGATGTATTCTGGGTGGTATGTACTTTTGACTTAAAAAGCTGGCATGTAATAAAGCACTGAATGGTATGCAGTGTTTATCTTACCTGGACATTTTCTTCTGTAACCTGGATTTCTGCAGTGTAAACATAATCAATGAGCATCCTCAGGGTCCAGCCATCTACCTCTTTTATTCGGACTCTCTTTGCTCGGCTCTCACTCATCTCACCTAAAACACAAAGGAGTGAGAGTGACGCAGCGGCGGGATCCTGCTGAGGAAGTATCAATGCCAAGACAGACTCATCTATTTTCTTGCCACTCACTGTATTCAGTAAGCAACTTATCAGCCGCTTTTTGCAGGCCTAAAACATTCCCCTACCTCCCCTACAGGCTCACCTGAGCAAACCATAACATGTACTCTTGTCACCACTTGTACCTGAAAAAAATCCCATCACAATAATGAATGTGCCACATGTCTAACTGCATAAACTATAACACCTGTGTCCTTACAGATTCAGCAACTGATGCTGTCCATGGGTTGGTTGTTTATTTATTTATTTATTTTTGCGGGGGGGGGGGGGGGCAAAGGGGAGGGGGAAAACTGCGCATTCTTCTGAGCAGTTTTGTTTTCTTTTTGCATTTCTACTCATGACCAGAAGAGTCACAGGGTCACCCCCTGGCTGTGAACAGCAATGAACGGTTGCTGAGAAGGACCCATTTGGTTAGCAGCATCCATTCAACAAGCACACCAGTGCCTGCCGTGGCCGTGCACGGTCTGCGCTGCGTGCAGAGGCTCTGCCATCATCGGGAGGGCACAACGGTCATGCAGGACACAGTCTGAACGAGGTTACATAAGATGCTGCGGGAATGCAAGACAAAAGAGGGACCACAGAAGGGTTAGTTGACAGAAAATGCTCGTTATAAGATCTTCTAGCCCAAGTTCCAGTCCCGTTAGTCCCCTGTGGTAACTTCATCCTGAAATCATTTCCATACCAGAATTTATTACGAAAGCCAGATACCCTTCTACATCACTGCCTGCTGAAAGCGGTAAAGGACCTCTCTCCCAAAACCCACAGAACTAATTAAGAATTCGGGGATCATAAATAAGATCCTCTCTTGTGGAAAGAAACAGGGAAGCAGAAAGGAGAAGGGATGGCCCCTAAACCAAAGGGACTTAGGAGAAGAGGAAGCAGGTTTATGTGTAGACAGCAAAATGGCCCTAGACATGGCCAGACATAAGCAATGAAATGGTGGGGAAAGAAAACTTCAACTAAAAACGACAAGGGCAGTCTAAAAACAGTGTCAAGAGCAGAAAGACAGATTTCTAAAACTCATCAGATTTTAAAGATAAAAGCAGCAGCATGAAAACTGATGCTGGTGTCCTTCACCCTCACCTTAATCAGGCATCTTTTGTTACAAAAGGAACACGATGACCTCTAGGTTTCTTAAAAGTTCATTTCTTTTTCAGATACAGTGCACTGTCAGCAAAAAGCCTATCACTGCAGCATTATTCACAGTGGCCAAGACACGAAGACAACCAAGACGTCCTTCAACAGATAAATTGATAAAGATGTGGTACATATATACAGTGGAATACTACTCAGCCACAGGAAAAGATTCAACACTGCCATTTGTGACAACATGGATGGACCTTGAGACTATTACACTAAGCAAAATAAGTCAGTCAGAAAGCTAAGAACCATATAAATTCACTCATATGTGAGATATAAAATCAAAACTCATAGACACAGACAACAGTATGGTGGTTGCCAGTGGAAAGGGGGGTGGAGGGTATACTAAAAGGGACCAAACAGATGGTGACACGATGACCTGACTTTGATGATGGGCACACAATGCAATATACATATCAGGTATCACAGAAATGTACACCTGAAACCTATATGGTCTCATTAACCAATGTCACCCCAATAAATTTAATTTAAAAAGAAAAAGAAAAGCCTAAGGGACTCCATCATTACACAAAATTCCTTTGCAAACACAAACCCTGGGAGAAAAGAAATAATAGTGATGCGCATTTAACTGCATGCTCCCCTGGGGATTATCTCTGACAAGGTCTCAGAAAGAAGCTGTTCTCCTGAGAGCTAAAGTATCTCAAAAACTATCCTACTTCCCAGGAGGGGGATGGGTAGGGGGAACATCCATCAGTGTCACAAGGGAAGGAGCTAGTTAAGAGAAAAGGGTACTTATGTCTATATAGCAGGAAGATAGGAGACTGGATTATGTGTCTCCTGTTAAAGCGCATTTCTTTTCCCCCCTTAAAGAAAAAGGGGAAAAAAGGAGGACTGAGGAACAGAGGGAAACCATTCTCTATCTGCATACAAGGCATCTTCTACTGTCCTTCTGGGTCTCGTGGATAGACTAGATTTGTATCATCCAGAAGCTCTTTTGTGCCAAAAGTAAAGATATTTTGGTGATTCCCATGTGGACTTTCATTGATTTATTTTTTTATCCTCACCCAAGAATATTTTTTCATTGCTTTTAGACAGAGAGTAAGGGAGGGAGAGAAACATGGATGAGAAACACTGATTGGCTGCCTCTTGTACACACGCCCCCAACTGGACATAGTATGCCCCTGGGCCGGGAATCCAACCCGCAACCTAGGTATAAGCCCTTGACCAGGTTTCAAACTTGCAACCTTTCGATTACCTGACAACGCTCCAACCAACTGAGCCGCACTGACCAGGGCTCCCACATGGACTTTTAGAATTAGCCACATCCAACTGACCCATAGGGCCCCTGTGATGTGCACAGCCGTCCGCAGCCTGGGGCTGCGCGCACATAAAGCCCGCACCTCTTTACCAAGGAAGGAATTCACTCCTCAGGGTTTAGGCATGACTTAGCTTAGAGAAAAATATTTACAAATATAACTGAAAAACCTACCAAGTCCCCTACCAAGCATATTTTAAATATTACTTTAAATATTTTAATATTTTAAATATTATAGTTTTTAAAACATTGCTCTAAGATGCACTTTACTAATTCATATATTCCTTACATCATTTTTAATATAAACTGTCTCTCCCCAGGAAAATGTATATCCACTTTTGGCAAATTCAACCCCAATCATACACAGCTTCAGAAACATTTTAATCTTTATTTTTCATATTTACAACCACAGATTGCATTGTAAGTTTAAAAAATTCTAGTAACCACTAAGAATCAAAACATATACTAAAGAGTTGTGAAAGCTATTTCTGTTATTTTAACATAGTACCTTAGTTATTGCCCTTTGCCACGTTCATAAAGAAAATCTTTAAACAGTATGGTTTTGCAAGATTTATTTTTGAAAATGCCTTTTTAAAAGATAGCCAGTGATACTGTACAGAGCTCATCTTGTATCATTTTTAACTTCCTGTACTCACTCTCTTGGATTAGAAGGTTGGTTTCTGTGTTTTTGAACATGTAAAAGCTACACTAGGATATCCACACAGACACCATCACTGAAAACCTGAGGATCACCCTGGACTCTCCCTTCTTCAGCCACCCATCCATGCCGTCACTCACCGAAGCCTGCAGAACTAACCTCAGACAGCTCTCACATCAACCCCCTCGCCTCTCCATCCCTTCGCCCACGGAGCTGCTGGGGCTCCCCTCACCTCTGCCAACGCCACTGCAGGAGCCTCCTTGTTCTTTCCCTCCCTCCGGAACGGACTCCACAGCTCTGGCAGTGGCACCCAGAAGCCTTCACGGTCCCACCCAGGCATGCAGGCCTCTTCCACGTCCACCCCTGCTTTGCTATCCAGCCTCCTCTCTTTCTCCCACTTCTAGTCTTAAAATACACCAAGAAGGAGCTTTTTGTCCTTTTCCCTGTACACTGAGCGATTTCCTACCAAGATGTGTCTGTTGAGCTTGGTCCTCATCTCCCCACCCCCTCACTCCACAGTCTAATCCCTACGGAATCTCTCCAGGTAGCCTCACCGGGCGGTGACCCAAGGCTGTGCTAGGCTCTCACCCTGAGTACGCGTGGGTACCTTCTGCAAAGCCACTCTATCATAACGATACCTAGTTCTCCCCACCTGAATTCTTAAGCTCCGGGAGAGGAGGGACGATGTCTTTCTTATCTCTGTATCATATAATGGCTGACATATGGTAAATACCCAGTAAATACTGGATGGATGAATGAATGACTAGAAGAATGAAATGTTAAACAAGTGCCAATTTAAGATGTAGCATTTTAACATAATTAATAACACTTAAATTAGTCTTGAACACGGGTATTCTAGCTATGAAGGATTTCATCAACAAACATTTATTGACATCCACCAAGTATTCTTGGAGAAGCCAAGCAATTTCACTAGTGAACTGAACCATCTCTACTTTGTTTGAGAGAAGAAATCGCGTCCTTCGAATTGTAAAAGCTTAAAGACGTAAGTGAGAATAGAAACATTTCCATTTCAAAAACTTTTAATCAGAACTCATGAAGCCCAGTGGTAGAAATTAAAATTCAATACTTCCCCACTACATTTTAGATACTTTAGCCTCTCATTTGTAAGTGAAACAGCTTTTTAAATTCCACATTTGTAACAAACAAGTAACTTTAAAAAAGAGAGGAGCTTGATACATTCTTTCTTAAGTAAACAGTTAACTTGGCCTTGCTCTAAGTAGACCCATACTTCAAAGTAAAAATATGGAACTATATCACAGAATTACTTTTCACCTCCCTTCTCTATCCAAAAACTCTAGGATGAGTAACAAGATTCCTTTTTAGGTGACATAGTTTGAACAAAAAACTCACCTACAGTTTATGGGAGATTAAAAACGGGCCAAAAAGGATCATCTGCATATTCTCCATTTTCTAAGAGGTGAGTCACAGCAAAACAAGGAGGGTGACGCCCTGTGCCACTGTAAACACTTCTTATTATCCATTAAGCAGGAGAACATAAACACGTGGCATATGACAGAATGGAAATATGTAAGGTCTACTTGACCTTCGTTATATTTTTTGTAATACACTTTAACAATGTTACAGACCAAGAAAAGAAATAAAGGGACTCATATTCTAGCAAATTTTAAATTAATATAGTATGTAAACTACACCACCTAGACCAAATCTCTGTATCTTCTTTACCTAATCTCTGCCAAACTGTTTGTTATTCAGTGGATTCAGAAGAAGAAAAAGTTCAAAGATTGCCAGATCGGTAAACAGCATCTGTTAATGAAGAACCATAAAAGTCTAGCCTACTGAGCACATGAAATGATGTGCAACATCATTAGTTATTAGGGAAGTGCAAAATAAAACTATAGTAGATGCCATTTCACACTCATTAGTGAACACCCATGACTACAATTTTTTTTTAAAAAGAAAGAGTAACAAGTTTTGTCAAGAAAGTTGGAGAAATGGGAACCCTTCTGCACTGCTGGTGGGAAAATAAATTGGTGCAGCCACTATGGAAAACAGCATAGCAAAAATTTAAATATAATTTTACCATATGAACCAGCAATTCTACTCGATATCTACCTACCCTCATGATAAATGAAAATATTTGTCTACACAAAGAACTATACACAAATGTTCACAGCACTACTCATAATAGCCAAAACCTAGAAACAATCTGAATGTCCATCAACCGGTGAATGAATAATCAAAATATGGTATATTCATACCATGGCATGTATTCAGCAATAAAAAGTAACAAATCAATGAAACATACTGGGACATGAAGTCTACGAGGGAAGGGGTGAAAACGATCATAGAAGGTGCATAAAAGAAGAAAAAAAGTCTAGTCGAAGCTTTCTTAATCTTCTGTTCTTACACAATATAAAGACATTTAGGAATTGAGAGTAAAACATATTAATAATAACAACCATGATAATTACTGCCAATATTAAATATTTTCTATGTGCTAAGTACTAAGAAATTCATACATAATCTCATTTTTGCAAAACCCCTAAGAACTGAGTGATACTATTATTTTCCCAATTTCCCAGATGGGTAAATTGAAGGACAGACTGATAAAGTGACTGAGTAAAGCGCAGACTGATGAAGTGATTGATGATCCCAAAGGTCCACAATTCCAGCAAGGAATTCAGAAGTGGCAATAGCAGTGTCAGCTGAAGGACCACTTACAGAGACAGCACTTCACTAGGGAATTCCTAAATGAAGCCAATACATTTCAAATCGAGCCCTCCTCTTACAAGCCTGGAGATTCTGCTTAGAAGGGGCAGGGGTAACAAGAAAGATGCAAACCAGAGACGGAAAGGCCCACCAGGACATGAAAATTTGACGAGCCCCCCTTTATTGTATTGCCTTGCCAAAGCACCCAGTGGAAGCGCCTTCCCAACTCGCCATCCCAGCCTGGCCCACAGCCCCTCTGCCGCCCTCCCTACATCCTGGATTATTGCACTCGGTTCAGGGACGGCAAGACTGCAACAGGCTGAAAAGTGAGGTAACCTCCAAATCTCTCTGCTCCGCAAACACCAAGTTCTTTCTCTCCGCGTGGCCTTCTGCATTTGGTCCTCCTCTGTGTAAGCCCTTGATATCCATTTGTTTTCAAGGAACAGCAGCCCCCTCCCCCGATGCTGCCCGTCACAGCCCTCCCTTCTGCACCCCTGCTCTGGGCGCACAGGCCTTCCCTCACTGTCACGTATTTAGCTGTGCACATCTCATCTCCCCAGTGGCACAATGAGCCACTGGGGCAGGAAGTGCTCATACACTGTCCAGATCTAAAACAACAAGCCGTAGCTAAAATATTTCATACCTGTAAACATGGCGTGAAAATAAGGACTGCAGGCGGCCAGCACCACTCGATGAGCAGGGATTTCCATGTCTTCAGCCACAATCGTGACATCACACAGCAAATTTTGACTGTTTGCAAAGCAAAGAGAAAAAAATTTAATCATATCTATAAGTGTCCTGAGCATTCTATGCAAAAATGTTACAGTAAGAGCCCACTTTCCTGAGGTTGAGGCTGACTGAAAACTACCATCCTTTAGAAGAGGATTCCCACACAGGAAGTACACAAAAACTGTCATGACAAAGGCCAACTTGCCTTGGGCCTCACTCAGAATCTTGCCTTTGTTTAACAGAGAAATATTTCCACACTTGATTACTGATTACTGGCGGCAAACCATCAATGGATTGTTTAAGAAGTGCGTGTTTGAATTAAGAACAGCATCAGCAGAAATGGCAGATGGCAGCCTGACATTAAGAGGAAGACACGATAAAACATGTAGAAAACTAAACTGGGTTGATGGCCAAAAAAATACGTATTTAAAATGACCTTGGGTTATTATAAAATTAAAAAGAATTTTGTTACCTTAAACCATTATTTTTCCTTAAACAAACCATTATTTAGTGAACATACCTCCAATTCTAAACTATCCACTTTAATTCATTCACAAACAAGTGGTAGACATTTTTTACATACTATGCAAGCTGCTCAGTGAGATCCTCCAGCTCCATAAAAATGTCTTTTCGGCAAAAAATGTTGCTGATGTTTATTCCAAACAAGAAGGCGCCAACTCTAAAACTGACCTTACTCAGAGTCATGGCATCAACGGCTGAAACAGGTGTGGTGAAATCAAAAATCCTTTCAACACACCTCAAATACCTGAGCATGGAATTTATGTTTATAGCATCCATAGGTCATGCGTGGCCCTGCCTCTACTATTCCTCCTACATCCTCCAAGCGCGGCCCACCTGCTTCTGTGAGTTTCTAGTCTTCTAAGTAACATTTTCACAAGACTTTCACCAAGTCCTGGAAGTTTTCCACTTTCCCACACTGCTTACAAACTTGTTTCTGTGGAGTTCACACCAAAACTTTTCAGAGATCCTACTGGCACCTGTCCTCCCTCCAGCCTAGGAGAAACTGTAAGAAGCGCAGCGCCCTCTTGCACCGGTGACGGCTGCAGTCCTGGGCCTCACGGGCGACGAGCCCCCTGTGCCCTTTAGGCTGAGGTACCGCTCATGGGTGGTGCTGACGTGATGGCTCATGATGCTGCATGAGTCATCCGGCAGGTCCTCCATTACAGTGAGGAAAGGTGTCACCATGGTTCACTCATCTGTCATTCCTCCACATCACTAATTTGTGATTCCTCCATCGGGATCTGACAATGTCTACCATCTGCTCCGAGAATAGAAAAGCACTCTTCAATTCTATCCATTCCATGGGTTCACAAATAACTAGGGTGAGAAAAGTCAGCAGTATTTTCAGGAGGGTACAACACAAGAGCTTCACTTTCATGTAGTATCTCATTTAGACCCCACCACAATCTTATGAGGTAGGTATAATTAGGACTTTTACTCCCAAAATGTATAGCCATGGAAGCCAGGGTTAAAGATGAGTAACCAGCCTAAAGTCCCCACTAGCGGCAATATCAGGATTCAAACCCATAGAGTCTAGCCCCAGAGGTCTCCTAACCGCTACACAAAACCATCTGAATTTGTGTTTTTAAGACCTGTTAAAGTTTTAATGAAACAGGCAATAGAAAGTATAAATTATAAATAACACCAAATTATTATTTGACATACTATATACGAAGAACTATTTTTTTTTATAGTTCTAGTTTATAAAAGGCCTGATTTTAGTGGGTTTTGAGCACCACTCTACAAGAGTATTTAGAAAAATCAAAGTTTATTTGCTCATTCAACAAGGCATTATAGGATCATCTCTGCTTAAGGAGACCAGAAAAAGGACTGACAATCAAAGATTACAGGACAGAGTGGAAAACTGTAAAATGTAAAAGTTGTAAAAATGCTATGGGAATAGGGGAGCATCTAAATCAGACTGGTGATCAGAAAAGGCTTCCTGCCGCTACTGACCTTAAGCTGAGTTCTAAAAAAAAGTAAATGTTAGCTGGAAGAAGAGGGAGCAGGAGAACTCTAAGCGACAGAAGAGAATGTGCTGTTGCATGGAGACCTGAAGCAGCAAAGTCCAGTGGGGACCTGTGGAACAAGAAGTGTGAAGAGACAAGAGGGCGTGAGCAAAGCAGGAGGGGAGGGGATGGCAGTCGGCAGAGCCACTGCACAAGCCTCTCGAGAGGGGCATCTGCGTCTTCCTACCGTGACCACGGGATCTGGACTCAAATCAAACCTCAGCCCACGGCATCTTTAATGTAGGTTTTCCTTTTGTCAGTCATCCCTCTCCTTGCTCTAGTTTCAAGATGGAACTTGAGTGGAATTATACTTTAACACCTCAAAATCACATCATCAATTCCATTCAGCTTCAATTACAATTACTCATTGATCCAGACCTTGTAGCGTAATACCTGCTGGGTGTTGCATAATTAGCTTGGTCTTACTGCCTTATTAGCTGATGTTAGTTAACTAATAAGGAAAAAGCATTCCCAAACTAGTAACATGCAGCCACGCCTTGGGTGAGGTCACAGGGAGTCAAAGAGCCACATTACAAATCAACGAACTGAATTACTACGGGGTGAGAAGAGAAAGGCTACAAACAAAAAGTCTGGCAATAAAAATAAGAGACACTTGTTTGAAACCAGTCTACAGGGTACGTTTTTGAGTTTATGTTCCTATTACTTGAAATCTAATAAGGGAATGGACTGTAGGAAAAGAAAGCTTTCAGAATGAGATAAAGTTGTTATTCAGCAAAGTTTGCACTTATTCACTCATTTAGCAAATAACCAGAGTGGCTACTGTGCGCCAAGCACTATGTCAGTTTACCACAATAAACAGGATAATGCCTATGACAGCAAAGAATGTACAGTCGCGCAGGGAAAACAGACAAGCTAAGCGGTAATTACAAAATGAACCTATGACTATTAAGATGACGCAAGCATCTGGTGTTTGGGAGTGCACAGGAGCCACCGAGCCCAACTTCACGGGGCCTTTGGGAAGAAGTTGCTTCTAAGCTCAAATCTGAAGAACAGGGGTTACCTTACGTAAGACTCAGGTGGCACAGAAAAATGAAAGGTGCTCCATCTCCTGAATGAAATGACATCATGAGAATGGGCCCTTCTCAGGAAAAAAACTGCTTTGAAAATTAATAAAACATGCCTCAACATGCCAAGACATTATTTGGTTTTAAATGAATGAATTCTTAGGACTAGAAAACCTATCACTGTTGTGCATATTATCTTTTCAAGGTAAAATGTGCCTTCAGGCTCTGAGATATCAAAAATAATTAGTAGTCACATGAAACAAGAATTTACTTTCTCCTGGAAGTGGGGGTGGTAGGCAGATGACATGGCATCTGTCTGCCTTTCTTTCCCGGGTGCCAGGGAAAATCTGGAGGCACTTCCTACCACATGGCATGGAAGTGAAGTAACAATTGAGGGGCCAGGCTGGCGAGATGTACCGTTAGTCAGAGTCCATGGGGCAAACACAAACCATAGCCTAGGAATGTGCCCCAAGACATACTGGAACAGCATCAGGTGTCAGGACAAAGAAACAAGGAAAGACATTTTTTTAAAAAGTGAGGGGCAGGGGGGAAGAGGTCAAAAGCCAAGGAAATTAAAAGCTGGTCAGGAAGCAGGGTGAGCCAGATGTGGTGCTGCTGTTTGGAACACAGCCGCACCACCGAGTACTGGCTCCCTGGCACATAAGGAGGTGGGGTAGAGAGGTGAGCTGTTTCAAAGGTAAAAGGCTACCTGATGGCTGACTTAAATTAGTCATTTTAACAAAACTTCCTCGAATCGACAACGTCATTTAACAGGCAAGGCAGATGCAACCTGGCTAAAATGTCAATAAAATCAAAGAACAACAAAACTCTAAGCCAAGGGCCACTGCTGTTTGTCTTCTTTTTCTTTTTAAAATCATGACGGTTTCAATTTGAATTTCTGTAGCAGTTCAGCACAAGGAAAACCTAGATGTTGGGTGTAGTAAGATCCACCACACTAATAGTCCTGAAGAACAGCACAGCCTCAACAGATCTGCACCCACTGAGACTTTCAAACAAGAAGAAGCAACAGTGACAGTCAACTTAGAAAGCTGCAGGGAAACCTACTTAAGTGACTGAGAAACTGTTTTAAATAAGGGGCCCCAGAAGAGAGAATCTTTTCAGATAGACTCAAGACAGCAGAGTAACAGTAAAAGCTGACAAATCAGAGCCACAGGAAGACATGGCAGAAAGCATGTTACTGTCTGTAGGGAAGGGAAGGGAAAGGAAGGGAAGGGAAGGGAAGGGAAGGGAAGATCTCCTGATCTGAGGACCTGCAAGAATACTTGGTCACCACTGAGAGCAGATGAAAAGAATAAATAGAAATAAAGTAAAAGAAGGCATTAGGGACAGAAAAAAGGTGGTGGGGAGGGAGCACAGTAGAGAGAAGGAAGTTAAAAGATTTGAGGGAAAACTAATGCAGAGCTGAGTTTCTAAATGTGTGAGTGAAAAGCTCCACAACCTGGTAGAAAACACAGAATATGTACAAAGGGAACGTCCTCATTGAAAGTGGGTTTTTTTCCAACTTGGTGAAATAAATCACAAGGTAGATACTCTTAGCTTCAATAATTTTTAAAAAATAAGCCAAACTAAGATTTCCTGGTTTCCTGACTTAGGATGGGATGCTGAGGCTAACAGAAGCAGCACAGTGTCTCACACATGCTAAATATTCAGCAACACGAAGAGAACAGGAAGTAGAAGTTATGTTAGTCAATTCATTTCCTACCATCCATTCTTCAATTTTTGAAACTTTTTAATGATTCTGTCCATGCTCAATAAGCACCATTTTAAAAAAAGATCAATCCCAAGTGCTGAAAAATCACTGTAGAAAATTACCAGTTACACTGAGACTGTAAACTTCAAAATATCTCTTCAACTTTCTAAACAAGCTCGCTTGATCCGGGGGTTCTTTCCAACTTTTCTGTACTTCAAGGAATGTTTTATATTCTACTCTAACACAACACAGAAACAAAAGAACCTGACAGTGTCTTACTATAGAAAAATATACACATTTGAGCAATAAAAATTTCATATCCTATATAATTTCCTAAAATCTCTTGTAGAAACAGTGATATAAAGCTATGAGGAGAAAAGCAAGCCCACTTAAGTTTATTATTTAATTCATTTGCCAGCTAAGCAACAAAATACAAATAACCAAAGAACCACAACTCAAATTTTTCACAGATGCACAGCAGATAATTTTATCCTAGTAGTGATCTAGGGCCACAATGTCTAAAAGTCCTGGGGGAAAAATACAACAAGCACTCCTTTAAGAGAGAGCTCTTTCATTTAAATTATCTTCTAGAATGTAAGATCTGCTGTTATAACTGAATAACTAAATACTTGTGGCTTATCTGTAAGTGAACATTTGAATTGTCTCATACGACTTATCTACTGAAAACTTCGAAGTCCTAAATATAACTTAAGGATCAAAATTATTTTCCTTCTAAACAATAGGTTGGCCCCCACTAATACTCATTGAAATTTTTAAAGCTCCAATACAGTCTTATCCCATATCCTAGAAAATCGAAGTGGGTTTTATTTAAAATTTATTTAAAGGCAAAATGCTACCTTTGACAGCTTTTTTTTTTTTTTTTTTTTGGACATCTCAAAAAACTCACAGTCTAAGGTTCTCAATAAAACTTAGGTCTGGGATTTAGTCTGCTTCTCTGCCTCCTCAGCAACCCAATACAGTGCGTTGCATAATAAGCCCTCTGTAAAGATGCATTGGCTTAATTCTGAAAATGCTAGTGTTTTGAAAAACTCGTCCCCCACCCCCAACCCCTGTTTGGAAAATTTAAAGAAATGAATTTCCCACCAGAGATACGTTGCTGTGCTCGACTTGTCCTTTTACTACACTGCCAGGTTGTTCCTCTGACATCATTCATGTTACAATGCTACTACCTTTCAAACACCTTTACTGATTCCTACTACCCACAGGATTAGGTCTCAAGTCACCACACCATTTAAACCTGCCACAGGACTGTGCTTCTCTTGCTTCCGAGCCTTTTCTACAGACTTCCCGGTACGAATTCTTGATTCACTTTATCCAACAGGTTATGTTTATCCCCTCCCTAGCTCGTGTAACTATCCAGACCAGGGACTGCCTTTTCTCTCCCATCCTCTGTATGAACCCTACTACACTCCCACCAGGCCCAGCTGACACCACCTTTGCGGATCGCTGTGGATTTATCCTGTGAGAATCCTTTGCAGCACCCACATCTTGCAAACAGTTTTCCACCACCTCATCCTCCTCTCTGGCATCTCCTGCAGCAATCAAGACACTTGCAAGGGCACGGGCAAGTCTGACACTGTTTTTCGGCCCCCAGCCTTTTGGGCATGCTCGATGATCTTAAAGGGGAACTTGGTGTATGCAAATACCTGCTAAATACACTGCTTAGAAGTGACTGCACGATTTCTAATCCAAATAATTTAAAGTCATTCAAGCTTACATTGAGCTGGGACAGAGAGCTGTATCTGAGCCTCCTGTCTTAAACAAAACAAAACAAAAACCTAGTTTAAAGAAAATGTAACATTTCTTTTCTATAAACTATATTAATTCTATAACTGAAATTTTACAAAACTGTCTCCCCACTCCCATGACCACACTTTCTACCAACCAAAATTGGAAGAAAAGTAACTTTTACTCCTTAAATTTCACTTCCATCAGCTAAAAGCTCATAAATACTCTCTGGCGTACAGCTGTTATTGTACCAAGTTGAAGGGACAGCCCAAGTGCAGGGCGCTGAGAACAAGGAAGTTCCCTTTCCTAGCAGTCAGGAAGTCACTCTCAGCGACCCTTTCCTGGCAGCAGGAGGCTGATGCAAGCACAGTGTGTAAGAAGTGATTTTCAGTTGCACAAGGAGTAGGCCTCTTCAAAGACTTTTTTTTTTTTTTTTATTATTCAAATTGACTCTAAGGGGTAAGAGAGAAGAGAATGGTATTAAATACAAAAAAAGGGGAGCGGGGAAGATTCTAAGGAATCCCAAAGAGGGTTCATTTTTTAAAACACAAGCAGTTGATGACTTCGTTAAAACAATCCCAGTTGTAGATCTGGCAGCCAACACTCTCCAGCTATTCAAAGGCCATTCTTCATTTTGAAAGTCAGCTGCAACAAGAAAGTACTATTTCATAGCCATGTAGTTCACACCCAAAATGAAACAAATAGGTAAGTGAAGGCTACAGCTAAATAATCCTAGGGCGAGGCAAGAATACCACGTGACCTGCAGGTAAGCAGGCAGACCATCTCCTAGGCTCAGAGAATGCCCACACTGCAGTGAACCTTAGGCTTCATCCTGTCCATTCCCCTCCCCTTACAGTTAAGGCTCGAAGAGACACGCTCACACACCAGCAGCAGAAGGTCGCAGCTACTGCACCGCCTGGATTGGGGGCAAAATGTGAGTACAACTATTTAAAGTCAGTCTTTCTAAACTTTTCAAAGAAAAAGGAAAGCCACTAAAGATCTCAGTCATAAAATAACCTGAATATTTTTCTTAACTTTTCTTTTAGTTCCACTTAGTAACCACTGCATTTTAGATTCTAATAATTATTGTTGCAATGAGATTAAAATATTCAAACAGCAAGGCCACACGTGCTGGGTAATCCCAGCGATATTTTTTCACAAAGGCTAAATGAAAACCTACTTATTGAAAATGTCAGAGCAAGACTAGGAAGCAAATCAAACATCCAATATTCAGTTTAACTTACTCTTGTCTCTCTCTCTTCAATCTACTCTGCACCCAAAAGCCAGTGTGTTCTTTTCAAAATACAAATCTGATCTCATAACCCTGCTGAAAACTCTCCCGCGGCTTTCTCCCATGATTAACTCCTAAAACAGACCAAAACGCGTAAGGCCCTAGGAACACTGGCCCTCAGCCACCCACACAGCCTCCCCTCCTGCCGTGACTCTCTGACCGCCTGCGCCCCAGCTACCCAGCGGGCCTCCAGGGAGGCCAGCTCCCTCCCAGCGACTTGAGCGTTGCCATTCCCAGCTGGAACACTGTTCTCTCATCTCTCCCACCACATAAGGACTTCACTGCTTTACCGCTATTCTTTTTCAGATCTCAGCACAATTATTCCAGTCTCCTCAGGGAAGCCTGCCTTCCTTCATAGGCCTCTGCTATCTGCCTCCACAGGCCCCCTTAAAGCACTTGCTGTCACTGAAATTATCTGTGAAACTCTCTGACTGACTAATGCCTGCATCCTGCAGTCAACCATAAGCCTCATGAGGACAGCAACCGTGTCTGCTGTGGCTCACCACTGTCTTCCCATCACTGGCAGATAATTATTTATTGACTCCTTAATTTAAAGAACAAATAAACAAATGATAGACCTGAAGATGAACTTTTAAGAAGACACAGCATAAGGACATCAAGGGAAAGTTTAAGTCACTCCCTTGTTAGCCCAAGCTTTTAAATACATGTAGAGGACTTTACCAAAGGAAATGATGAGAAAAAAATATGTCTTTCATAAAATGGTAACAAAACCAATATTGTTCACACATACATTAGTCTTTTAATTAAAAAAAAGAAAAGCTACTCATCTTTCAATCCACTTTAAAGATCACTCTTTTCATTACAGTGACTCTTAACACATTTGAGAATTCCCTAAATAATGGGCAGGCCCCAAAATTACTACCACCACCACCAAGGAGAGTGTTACATTGTCCTCCATCTAAAAGTTTTCTTTCCATAGTCTTTGCAATAACAAGTTAGAAACCCTGCACCACCAATGTCCAACAGAAATATACTGCAAGTCACAATTTCCCAGTAATTACATTTAAAAAATAAAAAAGAAACAAGTGAAATAAATTGCAAGAATTCTATTTAACCCGCACTATCCAAAATATTATCATTTAAAATGTAATCAACATTTAAAAAGCTTATTAGTAAGTATTTTACATTCTTTTTTTTGTACTAATTCTTGGAAATCCATTATGTATTTTCAACTTACAGAACATCTCAGCTCACAACTGCCACCATGCTAGTGGCTGCCACACTGAGCAGAGTAGCCTTACACCACTCCCACTTCTGATAATTATTTGCTTTCTTTCTTCCTTTAAAACACTTGCAGAAAAAGCTTTTAATGTTCTCTGTATCAAACAAAACAATACTGAGGCAAGGGGAGTATATTTACTGTAAACATCTAAAAAATAAAGGGAAGACACCCATGTTTCCAGGTTAATGTAATGATACCTTCGTAATTCATTCATGACTTTAAAAGCTTTCTTCATGTGCCAAGGATTCACTGTCACTGGGCAGTGTTTTTCAGTATTATCATCTTTTGAATCGAGAGGCTTCTGATGACCCTGCTTTGTGCATCTGTACATAAAAGAAAAGAACAGAAAAACAGAAAAAATCTTTATTAAAGATAATTTAGTTCAGGCTTATTGGGCTGCAGGAGACACAAGGACTGCCCCTGCCACACTTATTTAGAGAAAGCCTCACAATACATCCAAATGCAAGATTAAGACACAATTTAGAACATGTTCTGATGGTCACTATGACTTTACCAGGAAAGTGGATAATTACCTCCCTGGTGTCAAAGCTCCGTCAAACATGAGCACTGACAACTCAGGAAACGTGGTTCAGCGGATACCTCCAAATAAAAATGCTAAGAAATGATCTCCTCCATTGGAAATTAACCTGTTTTTACAATCTGTTGTAGTTACACAGTATTTACACACCAAGCAGGAACAGGATCATATTTTACACAAATTTCGGAAACTTAGCATCTGATTTGAATTTTGCTCTCCATTCGTAAGGTTACTTATCCCATATACTAGTTCCAACCTACTCTATGAAGACATCAATCATGTTAACTAGAGTGTGAGTATTGACTGTAGGGCAATGACTATAGTAAGTATTTTTCTTTCACTGTTTGCTTAATCCTCACAACTCTCTGAGCTAATTACTATTATTATCCCCATTTAACAGATGAAGAGATTGAGGCCAAAAATAATTCGGGTAGCTCGGTAAATGATAGAGTAAGAGGCCTGTTGGACGCTCAGGCTCATCCTTTTCACTAAGGTTCATACCATTTCCTACATTTAGCGTTGGATATTTAATTTTATATTTAAATTTATAATTTTTAAGGGCACAAGGTTATATTGGTATTACTGCATAAATTCTTTTGAGACTTGAGAAACATAAAACAGCAAATAAAATCAGGGCACCTGGAGGCTGATCCAAGTGTGGAGGTAGAATTAACTGCTAATGAACACAAGGGAACTTTGAGAAAGTGGTTTCATGACTCTAGAAATTCACTAAAAATCACTTAATCATACAATTATATGAGTAAAACTTATGGCATGTAAATTATACCTAAGTAAATCCATTAAATTAAAAAATCAGGATACCAAATTAAGCCTTTGAAGATCATACTCATATATACATCACATAAGAACAGGCAAACATCATTAGTTATTGTTGCATTTCTCTTCATACCTCTTCCTTTCCTGACCCATTTCTGAAAGGCTGATTCATTTTTTAAGTATTATCTTTTCAGCTTTGCACAGTGGCAGTATCATAGCCAATGAGTTTTATCCAAGGCACAATGATTGCTAACTGGAAACTTTAAATACCATCTTCCATTAATTCATCCAGCAATTTTTTCTGAGTGCCAACTATGTACCAAGCACTATTCTAGGCACTTGGAATATATCCATGAACAAAACAAAGATTCCTGTCCTCACAGAACTTGCAATCTAGTATGTGTGTGGAAGGATAATATACGTAACAAATCATTAAAGTAGGTGGCATGTTAGAAAATGATAAGAGCTATGGAAGAAAAGGAAAGGGGCAAGGTAAAGAGAGTCAAGAGTGTGCAACAAGACCAGGGCTGGCACCAGCACGGACAGGGCAGTGCAGATCATGCAGGGCCTTGCAGAGCATTGGGAGGACTTTGGCTTTTACCCTGAGGTACACAGGGAAGCGCTGCAGAAGAATGACACCATCCACCTTATGTCTTCAAAGGATCACTCTGGTTGCTGGTTGGGAATAGTCTATATGGGTCAAAGATGAAAGCGGGGAAGCTCTTTGGGAGGGCGATGCAGTAGGAGATGACAGTCTCTCAGAGCAGGGCAGGAGCAGTGGAGAGAGGAGCAGTGGTGAGAAGTGGCTCAGTTCTGACATATTTTAAAGGTAGTGACAACAAGATCTGTTCACAGAATGCGAGCTCTGCTCACATGTAGCATGTCCAAGAAAGAATGACTCCACGGTTTCTGGTCCGAGCAACTGGAAGGATGGAGTGTCTGTTCACTGAATGGGAAAGGCTGCATGCAGAACTGGTTTAGGGGTAAGAAGATCAAGAGCTGAGTTTTATACAGGTTGGTTTTGAGATACCAGACCTCAACATAAAGATGTCAAAAAAGGTATCAGATGGATACTAGAGCCTAGAGTTGGAGAGAAAAATCTAGCTACAGACAGCAATGTGGAAATCAGTCATTACCTAGATCGGCGATTTTCAACCGTTTTCATCTCATGGCACACAAACTAATTACTAAAATTCCGCAGCACACCAAAAGACATCTTTTTTGCTGATCTGACAAAAAAGATAAGTATGATTCTGATTCATTCACACTGGACAGCTACTGTTGTGTTGGCTGCTTTCATTTTTTTATCTGACACTCTAAGGGAAACGAGGTCAGTGCCCCTGACTAAATAGTTGAGTACTGCATGTTTTAAAATTCTTGTGGCACACTGGTTGAAAATTGCTGACCTAGATGGTACATGAAGGCATGAAACTCAGGTACCCAAATATTAAGGTAACCTCCAATGTAACCTTCCTTATTTCCGGCTACCCACACCACCTCCCCATCCACACTGAGACAGTTGATTATTCCAGAGCTTGCCTAGGGGAAGTGAGCATCAGTCCTGCTTCCCCGCCACCTGAGAGTTTTTAAATAGGCCTTACAAACGACCTAGGGCAAGGCATTGCCTCCAGGAGATGAGCCCACAGCTGGAGAGAACAGCATAGTGTCCTCTGCTCCCGGTGGCCTCTCGCTTCTGTGCTTGTGTCTGTGTGTCTCTGTGTGCCTGCATAGAGCGGTGAGTTACACCTGGCCTAAGAAAAAGAATTAGTAAGTCTAGAAATCAAAAGATGGCAAACATCTAGATCTGGTGGAGTGGACTGGGGAAATACTTTATGGTATAAGACATCTTCTAATGATGCCACTTCATACCATTCTTGCATAAAGAAAACAATAGGAAAAGGGGGGGAACTATGCAGATACATGTAACCTACACAAACCAACCATGTAACACTGAAGGTCCACATATATAAAGCAATTTAATAATGTTTATACCTGCTTCTAGTCTAATAACTTAAGAGTATTCAGTAGACAGAAAATATAACATTGAGGATTAGCAAACTATCATAGAGGGCTTTCCACAAAACACTCAGAATAGAAGAGAAAGCAACTCTGCCCTAGAACAAATATCATCAAGAGTCAAGAATATTTACATTTGCTTAAGAAATTAGAAATTAAAACTTCTTGCATTTAGAGAATTAACTTTAAGACGGCTACCATGTAACATTCAATGTCTATGTTGGTGCTTCCTTATAGCTACTTTCAGCTCCCACTTTTTTTAATGTGCTCCAGAAACGCTGCCAAAAAAAAAAAAAGACTTTATTAAAAGGCTTTTTTTTTTTCTTAAAAGGCTTAAAGAAACAAGTAAGAAATAACACTAAAATTTTTTAAAGTGTTCTCCGTACTGAAAGCCACTTACAAACACAGCTCCCCGCCACACAGGTCCCACACAAAGGCAGCTCCCTGCCACACACTTGCAACACTAAAGGCCCTCTCCATAATTTTCCACTGCCTATGTGGTTTTGTGTTAGATGGCCTCTCGTTCAGAGGCAGAAATGAGTAACAGAACATTACACTTCATGTCTAAAACTACAGATGTGGAAAATGAACATATACTAGGAAGCATCTAAGTGGAAGGTAACCCTTCAAGTTATACCACTGTAAGTGCAGCGTTACATCTTGTCCCTGCTTCCCTTTAAAGCAAAGAGCTAGCTGGCCTTTTCCCGAAAATCTCTTCACTCTGAGAACTGTCTTTAAAATATCTGGAGAAGGTACTTTTCCAAGGTTTTTCACTTTTCAGTCTTTCCTTAACTCTACATCCCATACCGGGTCTTAATACTATCCAATGGCCTTTTGTTACAAAACCTGCTCTAAAATAGTTGAGGCATCCAAGGACTTGGTTCCCAGCCCACTGCTATATTTTGTAATACATAATTCTAAGGCTCTTCTTTCAATGACTGGCTCTTCTGCAAATTCCCAGCTGTGGGCAAGGATGGCTTCTCGGGCCAGGTAACTTTCTTTTTCTTTTTTTAAGATTTTATTTATTTCTCTTTCGAGAGAGGGGAAGAGAAGGAGAAAGAGAGAGAAAACCATCAATCAGCTGCCTCTCGTACACTACACAATGTGGGGGGCGGGGGAGGCAAACCCGCAACTCTGGCATGTGCCCTCACCTGGAATCAAACTTGCCATGTTTTGCTTTGCGGGATGATGCCTAAGAAACTGAGCGACACCTGTTAGGACAGAACAGGTACCTGTCTAACTCTGGCTAAGAACACATTACTGAAAATAACTGAATTCTCTACGAAGAAGCAAACAGAGACCGGGTTGTCTCCTTCAGAGAGTCAGGACTCCATAACCAGGCAAAGGTTTTAAACCTACCGCAAGAATTTTGTGGACACCTTAAAAATTAGGTCCAGGTTTTTTTATATGTACATCATTCACTTGAGAACACTGAATTCCAATGGAGACAGAAGAATCAGGATGACCCAAGCAATTTTTTCAAGCTACACTTAACCATTCCTCTTCACATGAAGATTCAGGCAAGCGCTTTTTATAGTACTGACTGTATCAGAATGACAGCATCTCCAGGAGCAGGGGTGAAAGGAGGCTTGCATAATTTTTTGAAGTGATGTAATATATACCCCACCGCCCACTTAACTCCCACTCCAGGACAATCATCTCAGACTGAGAACAAACACTAGAAAATATGGGCCGGTTATGTTTCTAATGTTTTCTGGTGGAAACAATGCTATACTTCATGTGAATGACACAGCTGCAAAATTTAGCAGGGGACCAGACATTCTCCCATTCAGAACACCAATACTGAGCCCCTTGGTGGCCACCATCTCTGTTCTCCCTTCTGCCTCTCCACCTCAAAAGCTGCGAGACTCCCCTGCCTGCAATGAGTCACCCACCATTACTCACAAATTTTTGCCAAGTTCACGTCAGCAGCTGTTGTTTTCAAAGTCACCATCCATGCTGTATGGCTCTGAAGTTTCTCCATTGTTTTAT